AACAGCTAGAGATATATGTATGTGTATGCGTATACATAAACTGGTGGGAAAAATGAAGAATATAGACAGCATGTTAACTCTCATAAATTACTGCTTTCTACAAAGTTTGATACGGATCCTCTTAGGATAAAAGCAATCACTGTATTCAGAGGGGCTGCAAAATATAAACTGGGGGTGTTACAGCCCTTACAGTTTGTGGATTTCCCAGAAGCAACAAGTTGGATGCTGAAGGAAACACATCATGGAGAGAAGGCAAGACTATAGCTTTGCTCAGCTGATCTTTAGAGTCAGAAATTACCTATTCTAGTTTCTGTAAACAAAGCTTCCTCAGTACATTGTTTGAAAGATGCTTGGTTTTACAATGGAAACTGGGGTTTTCTTTTCTTCAGATATTCCCCTCCCTATTTTTAAAGTGCTCCCATTCCTTTTTATTTTGTCCAACACGATGTGGGAGACCTATCTAATCCTTTAGCCGACTATATCTCAACCTCAGCAACTTCAAGATGTGTGGACCTCAATTCTCAGAATTTCCAAGGCAATAGTTGGCTAGGGTATTCTGGGAGTTGAAGTCCACTTCTTAAAGTTGCTGAGGCTGAGACATTGCCTTAGCCTTTAAATAAATACTTGAGCTTTCCTTTCCAAAAGCAAGTTGATTTTGAAATATACATACGGTATAGCTGCTGTTTTAAATGACTCTGTTCTGAATATTTCGTTTGCTGTCCTGGGATAAACTGTCCAAGAACTGCATCATGAGTAAGTATATAATGAATCAGATCAGTTCCACAGTTTTGATAATGGTCTGAAATGCAGACAAAAGCCAAAACAAGTAAATATTCTCATGGCATATACATTAGGCACAAGATATAAGATATTGCCCTAAATATTATTGCCTACAGCAATATTCTTTCTGGCTAGGGAATTTTGGGAGTTGCAGTCCACACATCTTAAACATGTCAAACTTGAGAAACATTGGTCTCAAGAGATTCATAATGGAAGAGAACAATACCCTTGTGGTCTGGCCTCTGGGTCCCAGAATGCTGCATGAGAAAGGTCAGTTTTTTTCCTGAACAGCTTCAGTTGACTTTTGCATGGTAAGTAAAATCCTTTATAAAAAAATTAGGTAGAGTTGCATTTAATTAATTATTATGATTAATTCTACTTTTTGCTTTCAATTGTTACTTCAATTAATCTTAATAAAATCAAATCTTAATAAAATACCATTTGTATGGCTAGCACCAATTTATTTAATAATTTCTTTCTTTTTGACATTGCATCCAAATCTTTGAAGGATGTCATTTTATCCAGGTTGTTTGTTAATAATTTCTTCTTTGAGTTTCCATAAGCTCGTGCTTCTGTTAACTGTGACAGAATTGATCTATCTTGTTTTCTGTCAGCCTTTCTTAATTACCTTTAATCTGCCCATGTTTCAGGTCTTCTAAAAATGTTTACTTCCACTTTCTATTTCTTCTACTTGTTGTGATCTAATCAGTCTAAAGGTTTATCAATAAAAGAAAGCTAGGCCTTTTTGAAACTCCCTTCATCATTCCATTAACCATCAGATGTTAGCAATGTGATTTCTGCTCCTCCTCCTTCTTTAACTCAGTTGTGTATCTGGAAGTTCTTGTTCTATGTATTTTGGAAAAGTGAGTTGCTAAATCTTTAGTAGAATCCTCCTAGCCTGTGAGATCAATGCAATATTTTAGTAGTTTGATGAACATTCCCAGTCCTTCAGCTTTGCCTCTCTTTCCCACAACTGTTTGCGAACAAAATATGATATTTTAAGTGCATCTTTCTATAAGGGTTTAAGCAGTTTTGCTAGTATTTCATCATCTCTTGAAGCTTTGTTAGTAGCAATTTAACTTCATTTCCACAATAAATGATCAAACGGTCAGTGATCTAACTTTTATACTTATCACTGATTTAAGGATTTTTTTTTACTGTTCTTTTGCATATTTATGCCAGATTTTCTTTATGTCTTCTTTCTAAGTAGCTTTTTGTCTTCTTGGCCTTTTATTATGCCCATATACATAAAAGATGTTCTTCATTTCTGCAATTTTAAGTAAGCCTCTTGTCCTTCCCAATCACTTGTTACCCTCTTTGCATTGCGTATTTAGATATCAGTCTTTGTCTTTTCCTGTTCCTCTCCAGAGTTTAGCATTTAGTTTTTCCTCTGTGCCTGTTATCTCTTGCTTTCTACATTTCTTCAGTTGTTTACAGCCTATCAGTAGGCAGTCATTTTGCCTTCTTTTGCTTTTTGTATTTCGGGATATTTCTGTTTGCTTTACCCTTAATAGCATTACAAATTGCAGTTCAGAGTCCTTTGGCACTCTAGTTATCAAATCTAATTCACCAAAACTTCCTTCACCAAATCTCCACTTTAAACATTTCAACTTAGTAGTTTTGAGAGACTCTAAGATTTTGGGGACCAACCTGTCCTACATCTATGAAGTAATGGTTTGATCAAATTCATCATGATTCTTTTTGTAAGTGTAATATTTGCTTCTTGCTAGCTTGGCTGGCTGATTGCTTTCTGCAACATTACAGGTGGTACCCCTGGGAAATACTCTTGACAAACAACAAGCAGAGAGGTTAAATGCATTGTTGTTTGGTGTTTCAGAGAAATTCCATAGAGATCATTACGCATTAGAGTTAGCTATTCTCCCATTTGTGGAATGTTATTTGGAAAAATACTTACCTAGTTCCCAATTCATTTTTCTTAAGAAGATAGGAAATTGCTTTCTAAAGTAGTGAGTCAGTCCATTGACCACAGAATGCAATGTCTTTCTTTTGGGAGTGTTTCTCAACATTACTTGGAAATGCAAGGAAGTTTTTGTATACAAATATGCATTCTAGGCCAATTTTACAAGGCATGGAATAGTCCTGAGAAGTAGTTTATTTTTTAATTTATTATTTTATTAATTTTTAAATTAATTTTAATTTGTTATTTATTGACATGATGTATACTCCACTGTTTGCTCTAGGGCACTCTTTTAAACTTGATCTAAATACAGGATGAAGCACCAAGTAGGGAGCAAATCAACAAAACACAATAATCATTGGAAAAGGTATCAGTTATCTGGATAGCCACAAGAAGATGATGGATGGTGGGAATCCTTATATGGTGTTGAATCAAGTGTAGAAAACAGGTCTTGTTAGTATGGAAGTTGAAATAATAAATAATGGCTTCTGAGATGTAAGTCCTGCTAATGCTATGAAGAGTTTTGAGTTACAATGGAAACATTAATATGAGTAGTTTCTTCCAAAGCAGATTGCTTGTTTATGTTATCGCCCATTGTTTATTCTCACTGGCAGAGGTTTTCTAGCTTGGAGGGGAGGTTTCCCATTAGCTTCTATTTTAATGTATTAACAATTTGGTTCCTTTTGACATCTTTCAATTTTTCATGGGAACAGGTTGCAAATCCCTGCTCTAATCTGATCCCTTTCAAACTTGGGGTTGCATAGGAGGCCTTTTACATAAAAAGGGCATGTAATATTATTTTTCCTAAAGGGAAAGACCATAGAGCTATGGCTAATCTATGATTCTACAACTCTTACCCCCATATTTCTCAATGCTACAAATTCATATGTCCATTCCAGAAAATTGTTAGGGAATACATTTTAAGCCAACAGGCTTTCCAAAAAATAAAGGAAGATACAAAAGATCAACTGGGACTATATACATTTTTGAAAGTAAATGGTATTATTTCTGCCTATAGCAATATTTCTTCCAAGGTAGGAAAGATGACAAATGAACTTCACACGGATCAACATTCATGTCACAACTAAGTCAGAAATATGCATGTTTTAAACCTAGAAATACTTGATAAGTGGCTACTTGCAGCTTGTATAGACTGATGGTTTCCGGTATCTCATAGGTGTTATTTAAAAATAGGTGTTATATTTATAGTTCTCTTTTAATTTATCCTCATCCATGCCAGTCTTCCATTACCATGAACTTTTCAGATATATTCGATTATACTTCCCAGAATTAACAGCCAGGTTGGGAAGTCTGCCCCAATTTTCTTAAATGAGGATACTTTCCTGATGCCGTTTGACTCTGAGGGAAGTTCAAACAAGTCACAAGTCCCCGCATGCTTGCAGGAGATCTAAGTCCAGCCCACCTTGAATACCTCTCTTATCTCCCACCTTGAATACCGCTCTTATCTCCCATTCATTCCCCTTAACAGCCAGTTGATCAGATTCTTGTAGAGAGCTTATGCTCTCCTGATTTCCCTAGGGCTTGACCCTAAAACTGTTGTACATTTGCTTGAACCAATGAGGAAAAAAAGAGATTTAATATCCACCTGCAATTAATTAAATAATTCTGCTATCATCAAGGATAGTATACAAGACACTTCCATAAGCAAGATCTACTATTTCTAGGTATGTGAAAAGAAGCAATTGCCTGAGACAGATCATTATTGGCACAGAAAGGTTCTGTTCATAAAATTAGACAATAATTCTGCTCCATTTTCTTATGATTTTGGATGAATCAGGAGAGCATATGAAAGTTTACTTTCTCTGGGTTTGGAAATAAGTTGAATGATAGCTCTGAATGAATTATTATTAGGAATTATAATTATCCCTTAGGGATCAACAGACACTGTATAACCACCATACATTGATGTAGTATTCCCAAACCTAATATTCCCAGAGAGTCTGGAATATAGTTACCATAAATCCTGAATAGTGTTGCATGTCAGTTGGGCCCAGATGATGGATGGTGATTATTTAATACAATAAACTGAAGAGCATGAGGTAAAAGAAAGTTGTACTATGATATACCAGCCAATTAGAATGTATCTTTTTTTTTGGCATTAATATTTGGTGCAGTTTTCGCCCTTGTAACTAGATTGACTGAAGGAGATGCTTCATTTCACTAATCATATCTTCTCAGAAATGCTCTTAAAATGGACTACAGCTTTTTTATATTTCTTTCCATAGAAATAAAAATGGTATCCTGGTTTTATGCAAATTAATCTTCTTTCCTTTCTTTTCAGGGGTGTTGTGAAAGTCGACGTAAATCTACAGAAAGTGGATATTGATCAATGTTCAAATGAAGGCTGGTTTTCAGGAACTCACACATGCAATTTAAATAATACTGAGGTAAGAAATCATATGAAGAAAACTAATTCATAGATTATAATGCAGTCTTTCATGTTAAATTTTATTTTGCATGAAGGCTGACAACATTCTTGGTCAATCTTATAGAATTGCCAAATTAAGTAAAAAAACATTTTAAAACAATGGCCAGTGGCCAAAATCTAGATAAGATTTTGAGAAAAATTAGCATTCTCACATAATATTGTGTGAGATTTCACATTCCCATATGAGGTCTATATGAGATCTTGGCTAAGAGATTACTAAAAATCTCATGACATCTGACCCTTTATTTTTTATTTCAAAATCACACATTTCCCAAGCCCGTTGGCAAAACAACTTCTGTTCTCAAAATGTTCCCTTTCAACTTTGTGACTCTAGGACTATTTTAAAACCCTAAAATCATTATGTTTCATCTTTGGGTATTCTATATCCTTATTGTATGGCATTATCTTGGAAACTCATTGCAAGAACAATGTACCAATGTTGAAAATAAACAAGGAAAGCCATGAGACAATATAGGGTTTCTGCTTTATCCTCTGCTTTATTTTTAAGAAGAGACCTACTTCCTTCATTTACTTTTTTCCCAATTAACTTTCTGTATTGTTTGCCATTGGACGTATTTCTAGGTAAGTAAAGGTCTAGATCAGAGGGGCATCACATACTTTGATTTTTAGGAATTGTTTTGCTTTTCAGTGGCTTTTGTTTTTAAACCAGGCCTGAGATCCTTTGTGCTACTGGGTGAGTTCTGAGTATGAATGAACAAATAAAATGGCCTTTATGTGTACTTCAAATGAAGCTATGTTACACATTTAACACATTTAACTGAGATTAAATATTTATGTACATTAATACACATTGTTTAACAATGTCCATTACACTTTCTACAGCAGAGATGTTGGTAAAAGCCTGTTCAACTGAGTAATCTTTGCTTAAAAGGTATCCACAGTTATGATCACAAAAATCAAAACAGCAACCACAAAGATGCAATAGCTCTTCCTCTTTTTTATATGCCCTACATGTGCAGCTTACATAAGCATAGACAGAGTTTCATCATGATCGCCATCTTTACTTTTTTGATCAGACCCTGAAAGCCCTCTGGCTTGGAGGGACGTTTAATATCTGAATAGGCTGGATGTCAGAATGTGGCACTTACTGCTTTTTTAGAGTGAGGCCACATAGAACCATTCCTTTGCAATAGATATTTTTACAAATCTGGGGGAGGATCAGCAAAAGGAGAAAATGTCTTGCAGTCTACTGATGTGGGAGTAGCAGCAGTAGCCTACTTTCCATGCTAATCAATTTGAATTCTTCCCCACTTGCTCCGAAAGCCAAATCTTTCTTCATAGTCGACATGGGTGGGTGTTTTGTATTTTGTTTGTTTTTCTTGAGCATTAGCTCTCTTATAATTCATTCAGAGCCTTGCATAAAAAGCATTTTATAGTTGGTTGGTAAATAAGTGTTATTTTCAGCCAAAATATTGCAAAATAGGAATGAAAAAAATACTGTGCAATTTTTGCCAATATGCTGCTACCAGATTTGGGCTGCAAATCTCCAGTTCACCACACGATGGCAGCAATGATACATATAAAACAAACTCTTTGCTGCCATCTGGTAATTATTCAGATATTTTCAGCCCAGAATATGGCAACCCCAATATCAGCTATGAATTTGTAAGCTTCTTGTTGGTAACTGGTCTACTGTTGCTATATTAACTTAATAGCCAAGATTAGTTAGCCTTTTTTTCATCACTGAAAAGCTCAAAACAAGATTACTTTTCCCTGTTGAGGCAACAAAAAAAAAATCTTTCACTATCTGAATTACCAAACCGTTAATATTTGTTTGCTTTTGCCAATGAGATCCCCCCTTACAGTTTGGTATTTTGTGTATTCATTGTGGCTTATAGACCACAATATGGCTTTGCAAATTCATGGGCTACTGTTATATGTGCAAGCCACCTCAGTTCTGATAGAAATGCTCCCAGGTTTGGAAAAGATTTATTCTTCCAGTAGAGAAGATGAGACAAATTTTGTGGGTGGAAGATTTCTATGAGAACGAAAGGAGAGAAATGTAGAAACCATCTTGTAGACAAAAAAACTAAAGGAATATACATGCAAAGGGTGTCTGTCTCTAGGAATCTGCTATGTTGTGAGTGATTGGAGCAGCATTTACCTTATTTACATTCAAAAAGAAATATGTTCATTAATTATAAAATCCCTGGAATTCTTATAGCTTTGGACAGTGTTCTTCAACTATGGCAACTTTAAGAGGTGTGGACTTCAACTCCCATAAATCCACACACCTTAAAGCTGCCAAGGTTGAGAATCAGTAGTTTAGAGCAGTGGTGGCGAACCTATGGCACGCGTGCCACAGATGGCACGCAGAGCCCTCTCTGTGGGCATGCGCGCCGTTGCCCCAGTCCTAGGCCTTCAGCTGGATTTTATAAAACCTTTTCGCTTTAGGCCTCCGCCGCTGTGTGCAAAAAAAAAAAAGGTTCAATCAATCAGTCAATTTCAACTTCTTGCGGAAAAAAAAAGATCTTGCAAAGTTGGAATTGATTGATTGAACTTTTTAGTCCCACCCAGTTTGCTGTTACCACCGCAGCCATGCCCACCCAATGGACCACTCCCACCCAATTGGCCACACCCACCCAATTGGCCACACCCACCCAATGGCCACACCCACCCAGCACCCAACGATACATAAATAGGTTTGGGGTTGCAGTTTGGGCACTCGGTCTCTAAAAGGTTCGCCATCTCTGGTTTAGGGAATAGGAAATGGGTAGTAGTATTGCACTCTCTTGTGTATATACTGTGGATCTTGCTATTTGCCCTTTATTTATCTTCTCACTCAGAGAGTAGAAAGACCATATAGTGCAATCTCTAGTCGAGAGATTTTGTGTGAGAAAGTGCATGGCTACTAGTGATATTCTTCCAGGAATTGTGTAGATAGGCCAACTATCTACCTAACAAGAACGCCTTATGAGAAGTCTAATCACCTGACACTTCAGGCAGCACTAAGTATGTGTCTGCCTTGAGGAAATAAAAAATATATTATTCACTTACTGTGCATTAGATAATTATTAGATCTGGATCCCACTAGATCCCATTAGATATAAAGAGCAACCTATTTAGCATTCTCCCACCTATTTTTCCTATATAATCATGTGGGTAGGTAAAATTAAAAGTCATTTATTCAAAATCATCTGGTGGGCAGTTTCTCTGATTCTAGTCCAACACCTAACTACTATGCCGTATTCTAGTTTTCTCAACCAACTCTGCTTTTTCCTGTGTTATGAAACTGCAATCCTCTTGAATGTCTTATTTTCTTAAAGATAACCCACTAATGAAGTACTATATGATCTTCAGCTACAGAGTATCCTGTTCCTCCTTCCATTCATGAAGTAAGATTTGGGAAGTTGTGGCAAATAGCTAATTATAACAAAATTAGACTATTGTATTGCTACCGTAGAAACCAGCTCTTGATTCTCTCAATTAATACAAACCTCAGAGTATCTAAGCACTTCATGTAATTGGCTTCTATAACAAAACCTGTGTTCAGAGATCCGAGCAAATAAGAATAATAGCATGAAAAGTGAATGAAAGCAGCAAGGTTTTGACATTTAGCACATTTAATGAATGGCAGTCTAGCTGGGTGCTATTCGCATTTGGGACTGAGTTATGAAAGCCCGACTGAGGGTGCCAAGGGGCTAAGTTTCTATTTACACTCTTTTCAGAAAGAGCAGAGCCAGAGTAAATAGGTCACAGTGGCGGGCAGGTTTTGTGTGTGGCAGCTGGGGAAAAGGCTTTGCACGTTGAGCACAGAAAGGCAGCTAAAAGAAGGGAAGGAGCATTGAGCAGACAAACGAAGGTGTATAATGAGTCCCTTTAAATTTAGGAGGAAGTCTTCATTTGGAAGATGAGATAAGCCAAATGATAAATGGGCAGTAGGGCCTTGTGTTATTCTTAGTCTGATACTTTAAGTGGGATGTGAATTCTCCAAAATAGCAAAGGCATGCCCTTTTAGCTAATGAAGCCTTCATGTCTAAATTGGGACCCACCTTGGCAATGGGTTTAACTTTTAAGTATGGGGCTTATTTTGATCCAAATGTTTTTTATTTGTACTGAAAGAAAAATGGAAACAATTCTTTTCATAGTAAAAACAACAACAATACCAGACGTATTCCAACAGGACAAATTCCTAAACCTAGGCTCCTGACAGGATATAGAGTCCAGAACTGAGCCTCCTCATTCAATATTTACTTTAAAAAACACAACAATGAAGATTAACTTTGTGTTAGCAGACCCAATGCAATATAATTAAGGTATTCAGTCCAGAGGAGGGTTTGTCAACCTTAGCCACTTTAAGAAGAATGAACTTTAACTCCCAGAATTTCCCAGCCAGCAAGTCCACATATCATAAAACTGCTAACTGAAACATCGGTCCAGAGGAACAGCCATTTAAGATACAATTTGTGAGAGCTCCTAATTCAATCTACTGTTTCTCCTTCTAGAGACATGATTACAGTACAGTATTTGCTATTTTTGTTTTGTTCTGAAAATAGTGCAAACCAGGGCTTTTAAGTTTTCACAGACTGCACCTATTTTGCACTTAAACTTCTCAGCCTCCTGGCTTCTGGTTTGCCATTGTGGCACTGGCGGACGCATGGAGGCGAGCTCTGTCTTCAGCGTCTGGTTTTATCCCACTGGGGGAACCTGGAAAGAGTAGAAAGTCACCCTGTAGGGGCGATGAGCAAGGAGAGGACCCCTGCTTGATCCGGGGCAGTTCTCCATGTAAAAGACTGGCCATAGCAATATGGTTCGTCATTAAGCTGCTGACAGCTGAAGTCAAAACTACAACCAAACACCTTTAAAGCAATGTGGATGAAACTGGGTGAGATCTAATCTTCTCTTTAAGACTTTAAATATTTTTCCTGCAAAAGCTGCCCAAAATATATCTCCCCTTGTGAGGAGAGAGGGAAGGGAATTCTTACCCCACCCTCTAAG